TCCCCACCAGCAGCTGATTGGGCGGTATGGAAGGAGCTTCCTTCTGCGTTCTGGAGGAGTTCCTTTTGGGTTCAGAGGAGCTGAGGTTCGGACCAGGTTCAGTCCAAACCTGAACTCATCTCTAGCCAAAACATATGTCCCCGTTGGATGATACACTATATTGCCAAAAGTATTGGGACGCCTGCCTTTTACACACACATGAACTTTAATGGCATGCCAGTCTTAGTCTGTAGGGGCCAATATTGAGTTGGCCCACCCTTTGCCGCTATGACAGCTTCCACTCTTCCGAGAAGCCTGTCCACAAGGCTTAGGAGTGTGTCTTTGGGAATGTTTGACCATTCTTCCAGAAGCGCATTTGTGAGGTCAGGTACTGATGTTGGATGAGAAGGCCGGGCTCGCAGTCTCCGCTCTAATTCATCCCAAAGGTGCTCTATCGGGTTGAGGTCAGGATTTTGTGCAGGCCAGTCAAGTTCCTCCACTCCAAACTCGCTCATCCATGTCTTTATGAACCTTGCTCTGTGCACAGGTGCGCAGTCATGTTGGAACAGGAAGGGGCCATCCCCAAACTGTTCCTACAAAGTTGGGAGCATGAAATCGTCCAAAATGTCTTGGTATGCTGATGCCTGTAGAGTTTTCTTCACTGGAACTAAGGGGCCAAGCCCAAGCCCTGAAAAAAAAAAAAACCCCACACCATAATCCCCCCTCCACCAAACTTTGCACTTGGCACAATGCAGTCAGGCAAGTACCGTTCTCCTGGCATCGGATTGCCAGACGGAGAAGCGTGATTTGTCACTCCAGAGAACACGTCTCCACTTCTCTAGAGTCCAGTGGCGGCGTGCTTTACACCACTGCATCTGACGCTTTGCATTGCACTTGGTGATGTAAGGCTTGGATGCAGCTGCTCAGCCATGGAAACCCATTCCATGAAGCTCTCTACGCACTGTTGTTGTGCCAATCTGAAGATCACACGAAGTTTGGAGGTCTGTGCTGACCCCTCTCTGTCATTTTACGTGGCCTACCACTTTGTGGCTGAGTTGCTGTTGTTCCCAGTTGCTTCCACTTTGTTATAATACCACTAACAGTTGACCGTGGAATATTTAGTAGCAAGGCAATTTCACGGATGGACTTATTGCACATGTGGCAACCTATCACGGTACCACGCTTGAATTCACTGAGCTCCTGAGAGCGACCCATTCTTTCACAAATGTTTGTAGAAGCAGTCTGCACGCCTAGGTGCTTGATTTTTATATACCTGTGGCCATGGAGGTGATTGGAACACCTGAATCCAATGATTTGGAGGGGTGTCCCAATACTTTTGGCAATATAGTGTGTATTGTCACCTCTTGCAATAACTTATGATTTTCTGTCTTGATGACAGAGATCACCAATAGAGTGGTGAATCTTCCCTGTGGGGACATAGATAGCAATAAAACATCAGCAGAAGGTCATAATCTTCACCCCTATTCATAATGAAAGAAAAAAATGTTGCCTTTACATACACTTTAAATGGTGAAAGAGATTTTAAACCTTTGTTTGTATACAAAACTTAAAAATAAATGCTTGGCTAGCCTTTCACTTCATGAAGTTGGCTCATTTTTATGACATTTAATTCTCATGTTGGCATTACTTGCTGTTAAGATTACAAAAAGCAAAATGATAAGAAAACCATACTGTACCATGTACACTGTATGCATACGAGCCTAGGTATTGTCTTTATTACTTTGGATAATGCGTGTACTTGAATAAATGTCTATGTTTTTCGTATATTTCAGGATCGTGCCCACCAACAGATATCAGCCCTTGCTGAACAGTACCACCTTGTAGATCAAAATGGGCATGCCATTCACTATGAAATTCAGGCACTTCCTGGCACTAGCCCTCAAATGGTAAGCTTTTCTTAGGTGAGAGTAGAGCAGTATCCGTATTTCAGATCAGTTTATATTTTGCATTCATTGTTAAAAAAACAAAAACACTGGGGTTATACAGTATGTATAGGGTACTACTTAATAACCTAGAAAGGTCTCACAAATGTTAGAATGGTTACTAACAGAAATTAGCAAACTAATTCTCCCAGACTTAGATTGAGGTGAAAAGCAATTCACTATCCACATATGCTCTTTAAATGTTGCTACAAATGGCGCACAAGATGGTACCAAACCCCATCAGGCGTACAATAGTTCTCACCTTCCCGTCATGATAGCTGTTGCTGCTGCACCAAAGAGGAAGGCACACGTATGGTGGCAGTGCCTTATCCTCTCTCCCTACTGGAAAAACATCCACTATATTATTGTCATAGTATCCAGCAATACACCGGATTATCCACATAGTACAGGGCAGACTGGTGAAATACACCCGAACGTGGGCCTGTTGGCTACATTTCAAGATTACTGATGATTACAAATCCATTATTGCCTGTAACTCATAACGTGACACATTTGAACCTACTGCCACTAATCACTATGCACCCCACCCAAACTACGTGGCAAGAGAGCCCAATTATGTCCAAAGGGAATGCCATTGTCTACATGACAACACCCCCAAACTTCATATTTCTCCTTCCCCACCCATAGCAGGACATGGGAGTTATATACCCAATTCTTTCTATACCTTAACCTCACCATAGCATCTACCCTTATCCACGCAGAGTTCAATGCCTCAACTATTAGCCTTTACCCCACCCCAGCAGTCTCCCATCCCCAATTTACCTACCTTCTTACCTATTCGACTCCCTGCTTCCCACTCCCAATAACATTTTGTCAGCAATCAAATTCTTGTGGTTGGGTTGCCTATAGGCACATCAATTCTAGGTATTTGCTCATGCCTGGTTAGAAATGTTATGGTTGTGTTTTTACTTGTTAATTGAATAATACATTTGTCCTTATAAAATGCCTATACAGGAAGGCACAATTCATTTAGAACTACACAGTCCATACGATCATTATAGTCAGTAGCTGTTGAATGTGGTTGCACTTTATTTTACACTAATCTAACGTGTTTTATTTAAATCAACTTGATGTGAGAGAAATAAGCTCTCTGCCCTTGTTGACTTCCTTCTGAAAATTCAAATTAGGTTGCTGTTATGCTAATCCATTAGCTGCAATTCCCTTACTAACCCAGAACAAGTATGCTGATTATAATTGCTGAAATTATTTAAAAAGTTAAAAGTCCATAGCTGCATATTTGTTTTGGGTCAATGCCTCAAATGAATGAAACAAGAGGGTCAGCATGACAGCCAGGTAACTAACATTTTCAGTTTCAGATTCTCCCATACCTACCTGTTTTAACTGTGTTGTTGTGAAATGTCTGCTTTTTCTTGGACTTTAAAAACATCAAATTTATTCTCTCATTCTAATGGCTTGTTAAAGATGATCTTGGCTAGTGAATCTGAAAATGGACAGGTATTCCACGTCATTCCTTCCAGCCAACCAGGAACAGCCCAGCTGATCATTCCTCAGGATAACGGTGAGATATACAGATACCACTGAAATGAAAATGTGGAACATTCACAAGCCATATCTTCTTGGCATGTGGAATGTTTAAAGACTGATATACTTTTACTACTGTGTCCTTCTAAACCTTTTGTTTGCTTTCATTTTAGATTAAAATGTAGATCTTCTCTAAAGGGAATCATTTGTACAAAATCTTTATTTTATGGACAAATATTTAGTACTGGTTGTTTCCATGATGTTCCATTGGCAGAGCATACTGCATTTTGTAATAAGATACCGTAGTGTTGGCTCGGCATTTGCTGAATACTCCATCAAATTAAAAATCCAGAAGGACACTCTGGATTTCTGCTGGCAGAAAAAGAGGGGTGTTCCCTCCTCTGTACTTTGATATCCTGCTCATTACAAAGGCTATTAACTGCATAGTATTTGATCAGCCTTAAGGTGTCCATACATTGGCCGAATTTGGGCCAGTTTTTTATTTACCGACCGAAATTCGCACTGTGTGCTTTTCAGCCGGCATTCCTTGATCAGCTGATTGAAGGGGCCGGCTGGAAAATCTTTGTATGATCAGAGCCGGCTGCCAATGAGCTGCCCGCTCTGATTCGGTATTCTGACAGATGTCGGCAGCACCTGTCAGACTACAATGCAAACGGCGGCGATTCCTCAATCGACACGCGGTTTGTGTTGATTTTTTTTTTGTTCAGTGCGCGGGTTGAACGAAAAACAATTGATAGGTGCATGGCCAGCCTTGTGCAAAACCTGCAAGTACTTGTCTTGTAGTATTGCTTTACGTAACTCTTGTCTTGCAATACTAAAATAGTAAATAAGTTGTGTTCTCCGAATATGTGAACTTTACTGGTACAATGGATGAATGTCTATACCTGATCCTGATTGTGCCCTTTTATTGATGTGAATTGTTATAGATATATATAGATATATATATATCTATAGATATCTATATATATCTATAGATATATATATGAATAAAATAATTATATGTAATATTTTATATATACCAGACTAAAAGGATATAGACATTTAAAACTTCCTTAATGATTTTCCTTAACATGTTTGACCAGATGCCAAATTTTGTATCACTGTCTGTGTCCCCATTAGGGGGATTCAGCACTCTGTTTGTAATGGTGACACTGTAACTGAAACAGAAAATGAGGGGAAATGCAAAATTTTGCAGTTAACCCCTGAACAAGAGGGGTCTAATGGGGATACTTGTTCCAGGGACAACTGTCTTGAGAGGGGAATTCCTCTCCCGTTGGGAGATTTTCCACTAACTTCCTATTGCATCTCTGGGACAGGAAGTGAAGTGAATTTCCCGTTTGGTACATTGACAGCAAAAAAAATGTAAACAATTCCCTTGGAGGGTTTTAACCCTTTCCTACTCTATTCAAAACTCACAAAAAACTGTTTTAGCTGTTCATATTATTTAAACTAAATAATTTAATAATTTAAACTTGCATCCACCTGTGTCTTTTACTTCTGCCGGCAAAATTCCGCTTTATTGCTGTTGGGCTTTAAAATCATAAAAAGTTATTTTACTATGAGCAGACTGACTTCTGTACTTTTTAGGTAATAAAATGCAAATCTGTATGCATGCTGGAACTTCCTTTCCTTGTAGTTATGACTGTACAGTAAGTGAGCTGTATTAAATAAAGTAACTTGTCTGAATGTGCCATCTTTATTCCCTTCATATTTTAGAGTCTGCAGAACATGACCAGATCAGTGATAACCTGCAAAATGTACAGACTGTAACTGCCAACGCTGTGCCAGAAGCCAGCAGCTTCATTATCCACTCCAATACTTCACTTGCTGTGTGTAATAAGTCACCCACCAGGTATAAATATCTTTTGCACTCTTATTTGTTGGCCTTGCAGCTGCTGCGTTATAGGTTTTTATCATATTTTAAAGAAGAACTCCAGGAAAACTTGTTCCTAACCTTTGCAGTGGGGCTACTTCGGCACTGCAAGGGTTAACTGCTCGTTTTTGTCTAAGTGCAAAAATAAAGTTGTTCTCACCCGAAGCTCCGAGGTGGCCAGCTGTCAGAGCCCCCCCTCCAGCCTGTCTCCTCTTCCGCTGCAGCATTGGAATCTTTTTAAGCGTCCTCACGTCTATTCACAGTGTATAGAAAGTGATGATTTATGGGACCTTAGACTGGTGCAGCGGAGGAGGAGAGACACTGGAAAGACTGATCTAAGAACAACTTGCTTGGAGCATTGGGTGAGTATAACTTTTTTTGTTGTTAAACTAGTCAAAAACGAGCAGTTAACCCTTGCATTGTGGGGGAAGCCCCACTGCAAGGGTTAATAAAAAAAATCTTCTTGGAGTTCTTCTTTAAAGGAGAACTATGAGGCGAGTGAAAATTACTCAGCCTCATACTTCTAGCCGACCTGTGACAATGAAACTGTCACAGGTCGGCTCAATAGATCGGGAAGTGAGCGAACACATACCGTCGCTCGCTCACTTCTCGATCTATCCCTGCAGAGAGCAGTGACTGTCACTCACGGCTCCCTGCAGTGATTTCCCCCCCCTCCCCTGTCCGATCCTCCAGCGCTGACTGGCGGAACGGACAGGGGCGGGTACAGCTGGCTCTGCCTCTAGATAGGGAGTTTCCAAAATACAGAGTTCCCACAGATCCAAAGATTGATAAAAAAATGATTAAGATGGAGCAAGAGAAAGCTTTTAACTTTCTAAAAAAGGATTTAGATAGCACAGAGGGAATTTTAAGGTAAGATAACATATTTGTAATGTTTGGTGGATGATTGCATATGGTAACTTCCAACTGTAGCAACATATGTGTTTGTGCAGGAATCATTTTAGTATTAACTTCCTTGTTAGTGCAGTAGAACCCCTTATTTCATTTCTACACCATATGTTCAGTGAACTACTCCTAACTAAGCTTCCTTAAACTTCACCAAACAGATCTGAGCTGGAGATGTAGATAGGCTTCATTTAACTATAGAAGGGCATTAGCTATGGCACATGTCAATAAGACACAACTATGTCACTTTAAACACCTGCTTGTCACATACTGATGGCTGCTGCAACTTATAGAAGCAGAACTGTCCAGTCTTCTGCCATTATCCTTCTGGTGTCTGTTATGTGAACAGCACAGGCGTGCGCACACACCCTAATTATTCTGATAGCAACACTGAAACCACAACAGTGGGCGCTGTTTTATTTTAGTTTAGTTACTGAACTGGTGGAGAGATCAGAAAAATCTCTGAGACTGGCTCAGCGATACAGAGCACAGCAGTACTTGGCACTTACATTCCACACATAACAGCCGCAGTCCCCGGTGCCTGGGAAGCTGCGAGGGAGCGTGGCTGCAGATTCCCAGACTTCCAATCAGGAAGCTGAGTGGGTGATCACATGATCCACCTGCCAGGCTCCCTTACTGTGTGCACACCCTAATGCAATATGCTGCGCATGCCAATGGTGAAAAGTAAGCATAGGTAAAATATGACACCACCGCCTAATTCACACAGGCTTCAACTTGTGTAAGAGCAGTTTGAACAGGGAGCTCTTACACAGCATATGCAAAGCTTATGGCACATTTTGTTGAAGCTTTTAAAGCACTGTTCAGCTCCAGTTTGGAAATGTTAAACACAGATCTTAAAGAAGAACTATGAGGTGAGTGAAAATCACTCATCCTCATAGTTTGAGCCAACGTGTAACAATGAAACTGTCACACGTTGGCTCAATAGATTGGGAAGTGAGTGAACACATACCGTCGCTTACTCACTTCCCGATCATCTCCCTGCAGAGAGCGGTGACTGTCCAGTCACCGCTCCCCCCAGGGATTCCCCGCTCCGTTCCTCCAGCGCTGACTGGCGGAACGGACGAGGGAAGGGCGGGCACAGCTTGCTCTGCCTCTGGATAGGCAGAGCCAGCTGTCATTTAAGTAGCTGGGTGGATCGCGACAGTGATTTCGGGATCCGGCTGCGGCGTCTCAGTATACCGCAAGCTGTAGCTTGCAATATACTGAGCTTTGGGTGACGGGAGGACGCTAGTTTGTGTCCTCCCGTTACCCTTAGGAGAACTATGGGGAAAAGCCCAGACCCCATAGTTCTCCTTTAACTACATTGGCCATATGTTAGAGCTGTAGGCTTTAGTATGTTTTTGTCTAACAACAACCAACCTATTCCAGCTCATACATTTTCTAGTGCTGATTGAAAAATGTAAAATAAGCTTGCTATTGGTTGGTATGTACAGCAACAGATCATTTTTAGTTTGTAATTTTGATCAATTTACTAACCTACAATGATCCTTATTGGCCAAAGGGAATTGGTTTCAACATTGACAGCTACTGAGTGGTGAAAATAATAGTCACATAGCTAAAAATAATGATTGTTATGGAAAATAACTCATGCCTTATAGCTTTAGTAAATGTAAATCTATTACATTATTTTGTTTTATTTTGTTAATTTCAAAATATAGGCTGTAAAGGTTAGAATCAAGCTGCACACACAGGGTGGTGTGAGCATAGGTGCACATTTGGTGCTTGCCTATTCAGCTCTACACTACCAATAGAAAGTGTGATTTCTGATGCAGTTTCTATAGCTGGATGACAATGTCTTTACAGCACTGCACCGAGGTTAGCTGGTATAGAAAATGGTAACATTTAGTGCCCATTACACTGTTGCACATAAGCGCATTGCAGTACTAATTATTCTCAGTGGCACGCCAAAGCACTAAGGGAACGCAGATGTGTTGCAGCGTGCAATAAAGTACTACCGAGTGTTGTGGTGCGCAACGCAAAAGATGGTGTATGTCCGATTTTTATTTTATTTTTTTTGTTGATTGGCAGCCCACTTTTTTTTAAATAGGCAACACATGTTAACATGTCAAGATGTGAATGGGCCCTTAAGAACCCTTGTGTTGTTAGTCAAGCAGGACCCTAACCTACAGATACAACTTCACTTTAAAGCAACCCTGTCAGGGGGTGGGAAAACAAATGAGATCAGCAATCCCCTGTAAAATAGGAAGCTACACAGGACATAGTAGAGACATAGGTGTTGCAGGAAGGAATCACAGTAGCCAGCAGGGGGCATGCTACTTGACATACCCAGAAGTGTCAAGCTAGTAGCAACACTGGGATCTCTTCAAAGTTTCAGCACCCCCTTCTTATTTCACAGGGTATCACCCCTTTAATATTTTACACCGGACAGGGTTGCTTTAAAGGGCCACTATCATGAAACTTTAAATAAAATACACATTTTTTTCTTTCCTCGCTTATCTAAATATACACTGCATATGTTTTTCTGTTTTTATATAGAGCATATAACAGTTTAAACCCCAAATGTACATATTTGTCTCATCCTAAATGGATGAATACCTGTGTAGAATTCTTAATTTATCTGTTACTGTAAAGACCTAATGAGAGTTGCCGGTTTTAATCAATATTGTGTCTATTTATGCTTTTAAAATGGTTTCTGCTTTTTGCCAACTATCTTTCATGTAGAACAATTTTAATCTTTTGAACTGTCCATTTTAGATGGACTGTTGAATCCTTTCAGAAACCTATTCAACCACTTCCTCTTAACTTTCCTGTTTGGGCTCGTCGTCTCAGGAGTTGTGAGGTGAGATAAGTTTAATCAAACCACATCTTACCTTCAATAGTAATTTTGGACATAAGCTTATTGTCAACCAACACAGTACAGTTTAATGGCTTGACTGCACCAATTTCTCCATGTAATTATGTTTACAAAGATTTGGGTTCAGGTTCTGGATGTATTACAGTTAGTAAGTATTAAGTAATGTGTTTATATATCTAGTGCATACATTTACTCTACATATTGATGACAAATTCCTCAGTCATTTTACAAAGCACATAGGTCATTGTCATCATTTGAAATTAGTGTCGGAATGTTTACTCTGATAAAATAAACAGTTTTTAATTCATGAAGACGGGCCAGGATCTGGAGTTAAGGCGATTCCCAACTTATTTTCACAAAACGAATAACTCGAGTTCTGTATTTGCGCTAACTTGAAGACAAAATAAAAACAATAATGTGCAAAAATATATATATGTATTAACTAAAATCAGTGCAAAATAATAATCAAAATGTAACGGGTGAACAATAAAGAATATGGATCAAAATTGCAATAATATTGATCAGCAAGTTAATAATAAAATAAAACCACAGGATATAATTTCTCATATTAATGAAACAAAACAATATATCTCCAGAAATGCAATTGGTAACTTCTCAGTTGCTCCGCAGAATATGACAAAATAATGTGCAGATTCAACACGTGACCTCTCCCAACCAGACAGATGTTCAAAAACTCAAAGTTCTACTGCGCATGAATTTATAATACTATGCACAGGACTGGCTAATAAGCCAAGAATCTATTAGAGATAAAGACAAGCTTCCTGTATGTTCTTTTATTTTTAGGTATATATCACAGCTAGACCATCGACTAGAAACTGAAATCAGCTTCGAGGAAACTCCAAAAATATTTCTCCCAAGATTGAAAGGGAGGCAATTTTTACTGCAGATAACATTTTACTCAGGCTCAATCGTGATGCTAACAATGACCAAACGGTTTAGTTAGATATATATGGCTAGTCAATTGCCTACAGATAGAAGTCTATACTTTACTGAAAAATTCTTTTGTCTTAGAGAATGATGTCCACTATGTGTCAGTGTAGGGACAAGAGATGTTAAGGTCCTCTTTGTTCAGTTCCCTCTGGCAGCCCGTCCATCAGCTTCAAATCTCTCCTTTTCTGTGTCTGTGTACGTCCTCCTGTATATTCTTTCCTTTTTTTCAGTCTCTCAGTCTCCACCCTTAACTTTCTCCTCAATAGTTCCAACATTACCGAATGGTAAATGGTAAACTGGGTTTGTGTGGGAAATTAGATGATCATATAGCAAATAGTGTAAGTTAAAAGCAAGTTTCAACAGACAGGAATATTTCTGAAGTCATAAATTGTTAATACGGACCTCCGCATGTTAAAGAGCATTATGTATAGCAAGCATTAAAAGCATTTGTAAAGCTTTTGGGAAGATTCAAGTACTTTTGTTGAAGCCTTTAAGCCCTTTCACTACCACCAATGTATATCATATGTCAGTGGAATTGCAGGCTTGTACACAAACTCCCTGCTTCTATAGCAGCTGAGAGCCCAGGGAACTTCCCTTCACTGCAATGAACTGGGAAGGAAAGAGCTCTGATCACCTCCTAAAATTAATTTGAGGGTATTTTTTACTGAAACTATGGATTTGATAAACAGTTGCGTTTATATTGTGTGACGTAAAAATTTGCAACTGCCACCATTTTATTATGTAGAATCTCTGCTTTCAAAATATATACATTTTCTGGGGTTGTAGGTTATCTTCAGGCATTTTAATGCGTGCATAAGGGAAAAACAAACTTTAGTTTGAGTATGGGAAGGACTGGGCCGAGGATAAGGTAGAAGAGGCGACCACCTTGGGCATTTCAGGAGGAAGTAGACTCAAAAAGGGTAGGACCTGCAACTTATTCTGCTGAGGTAGTTTACAGGTCACGGAGGGTTGTACTTTAGCCTTTTTGCCCAGGGTGCTAAAGGACCTTGTGCCAGCTCTTAGTACTAGAATGGTAAACATAGATCTCAATGGGAGTGCTAAATGTCATTTTAAGCAAGAAGCTAGCAGGCTTTTAACACTCTTTAAATAGTATTAAAGCCTGCTAGTAGCTTGCTTAAAGTGATATTCAGCACTCCTAATAAGATCAGTGTTTAACCTTCCCATACTAGCAATGAATAGTACTTTAAAGGGTTAGACAAAGCTGTTATAAGCTTGCTGAAACATTTAAAATGCTTTGCAAAAGCTTGCTGTACACATTGCTCTTGTGAACAGTGACAAATAGAAATAAGCCACATATAATTTCTGACAATGCCATCAAGGAAATCTGTATTGAGATAAACATGGGTGCTGCCTACTGATTCTAGTTGCCTGGCTGTCTCTGGATTCAATACATTTTTGTCACTGAACTGGAACAAGCACACAGACCAGTAAGTCAGAGTGTATTCAGAACTAATGTGCTTGTGCAATGTCAGTGCCTCGGAAAGTACTGAATCCATTAGATGGATATGAGAGCCAAGCAGTGCCATCTGGGACCACCATAATTATGATATTGGTGGTCAGACAAGTTTGATTTACTTTAATTATGGCAAGCTAACCAAGAACAAAGACCGAAGATTTTTGTGTAAGCATGCTTTATTATCTTTTACAGAAAATTGGAGACTCTTACCGTGGTTACTGTTTGAGCGAGGCTGAGCTCATGAACATTTTAGGCCTTCATAAGCAGCAAACAATGAGTGTTTGGGGAACACGCCAATCTCCAAGCCCAGCCAAACCTGCCACTCGCTTAATGTGGAAATCACAATATGTTCCTTATGATGGAATCCCTTTTGTAAATGCAGGTAAATCAGTATGTTATCATAAAGGAGCTATCATTCTATAATATAATGATTGTACACAACTGTTGGGGTGAGACCTGATAGATGCATACCTTCCACTGTTGCTCATGGGGGACATGTGGGTTTCTGTGCAGTGGAGCTGTACAAGCAATGTACATATGGATGGAGCTCCTTCACAGTACAGCAGCCCACACTGAACACCTACATTTTTTTTTATTTTAGAGTGTGTATGTGTGTGTGAGATTTGTGTCTGTGGTTGTGTGTGTCTGTCAGTGTTTTAATCGCAAACTACTGTTCATTTTGGTGTGGGAGGTGCATTGCATTGCCATTAATTTGAATGGCATCCCAAACACACCTCCCGCCCACAGCTTGATCGCTTGCACCGTAATATGCGGTACCGCAATGCTGTGCGTTCCAGTAAGGTGCGACTTGGGTCGCAACTTAAAGGAGAACTATGGGGTCAGTGTTTTTCCCCATAGTTCTCCTCAGGGTAACGGGAGGACAAAAACTAGCGTCCTCCCGTTACGCTAAGCTCAGTATACCGCGAGCTACAGCTCGCGGTATACTGAGACGCCGCACCTGGAGCGGATCCCGACGTAGTTGACGGGATCCGCCCAGTTGTGTGAGTGACAGCTGGCTCTGCCTATCTAGAGGCAGAGCCAGCTGTACCCGCCCCCTCCCCCGTCCGTTCCGCCAGTCAGCGCTGGCAGATCGGAGCGGGGAGAGGGGAATCCAGCCCTCCCCCTGTCACGGCAGAGAGCTGTGACAGGATCGAGAGGTGAGGGAACCCGGTATGTGTTCCCTCACCTCCCGATCTACTGAGCCGACCTGTGACAGTCTCATTGTCACAGGTCGGCTTAGAACTATGAGGTGAGTGAAAAGCATGCACCTCCATAGTTCTCCTTTAATGACCAAGGACAAATGTGGGTCCTGAGGTTATACTGGTTGAGAACCACTGCTCTAGCTGGTCCCCAAACCGCTAGCCCCCCACAGCCTGTTTGTTGGTGTCTCCTTCAGCTGGCCGGCTGCTGAGGAGACACCCGTGTGTGCAATTTCCTGGCTGTGACCCGTGCCCAGCTGTGTGCGTCTATATACACACACCTCAGCTTCCTCCACCGTTAGGTTAAAATATGCCTGGCCTTTAGTACTACTTTAAGTAGGCCCTTACACTACAAAGTTGTTAGTAAATCTAAAGACAATTAAACAATAAAATTGTATAGTGTGTGGCAAGCTTAAGGGGCATATTTGTAAAGCAGCGCCAATGATCACATCACTAATAATTTGGTTCCAAATGCCTGTCACATTACCGTGGTTAGGAGATGCACATCTGACTTGTCTACTTTTCAACAGGAAGTTCTGGTTTTGGTAATATTAGCCATATTTATGTTATAGCCAACGGAGCTGATCTGTTTTCTTTTACAGATGGGGTATAACTGATTCTATCAAAGATTCACATGGTAGACCTGCCATACTAGCTTACCTGTTAAACACATTCGAAGCATTTACAACAGCCTGCAGATAAGGTTATTGGCAGGTGTATTGGTGAACAACCAGAACATTTGCTTTTATTTCATTGTTTTTCGTTAATATGCTCCTAAGTCCATTTTTGCTGTGCAGGGGATTGCGAGAAGATAATATAAACACAGATTTCTGGTTGTTGTGTTTGCAGCATTTTACAATAAATGCAATTTTAATGAATAGATCACTGGAAAAGGGGCATTTTGTTCTATTTGTTGTTGTTCTTCAAATACTATATGAAAGCATGGTATCTTTGTTAGAAGCTGGGGACTGAACAACATCTGCTAGAGTACTCAAAGCTGCTGCACTATTTTGGCAATGATCACGGCAGCATCAGAACACATTTAATTCAATGGATATGGAACTAATTATTTGTATTAAACACAAACATATGTGCTTATTTTAAAGGTCACCCTGGTCTGTGTTATTATTGCTTAGTATAGCTATATGAGAAAATCACAGTTTAGAAAATGTGACTTGCAGGTGCAAAAGTTGCTGGCGTATTTCTGTGCTTTGCTAGTTGTTTTAACTCTTTCAGAGGGTTGATGTGCTTACATCAGAAAACTGATGATATGCAGTCTGTTGTTCTTATGAGAAAATCTAAATTTGGCTATTATAGGAAGCAGAGCAATTGTGATGGAATGTCAGTATGGGCCAAGAAGGAAAGGTGCACAGCCCAAGAGAAGTGTGGAGGGAGACAACGCATCTGGGCAATCATACAAAGCAACTTGTCCTGCGAGGTGGGTACTTCTCATGTGAATGTCTTTGTGCTAAAACATTTGTATAACTCTCCCCCCAGATGAAGGTGGGAACTGTAGGCCAGAAGCACACAGAAGTGCTTTTAAAGATCAGCTGCATGTTATTCCAGTGTCTGATTAAAACTGAAACACATAAATGGAACATTAAAATGACTAAACTTAATATCTTATATAAAGATAAAGCTGCAAAGAAGAACCTAAATACTGCAGTGAAGAGAAATTGCCTGTTACACAATCTTCCGAAGCCCACACTTCCAGTAGTGTAATAGTCCTGGTCCATCACTGTGCTCAATGATTCCTCTCACCACCCCTCTACTAGGGATACATAAAGGGGTGAAACTAAAGGAAGAATAAAGTGGACACATGGATAATAGCATAGTACTAAAATAACCCAAAAATTTTAACCAGTGCTGTAATGATTTGGCCATATATATTACAATTGAATCATTTATGTGTTCATTGAAGTAGATAATAAAATATATCCTGACGCAGCAGAGGGTTGTGTTTGAAAAGTGTAAATTTATTAGTAATTGGATCTCTCAGCAAGAGCAGATTTTCCAAAATGTTCAGCCTTGGTGACAGAGGTCGTATTGTGAGAGTGCATTTACCAACTGGGGACATGGACAGCAAAAAACTGTGAAAGAGTCGTCCTCTGTCCAGAACTACAAATAAATGTTTTGGCATGGTGGATGTGGGGCAGCATGAATAAGTTCTTACCTTTACTGTACCTGTGTTGATGTTAAGGTTACCTCCAGTCTGCTTAAAAATATTAACAGGGTTATTCACAAAATGGTGAAGAGTTTGAAGAAGGCAGGAGAATGGAACAATCTAGGACAACATAGCTAATAATTTTTCCAAATCAGCTATGTTGTCCTAGATTGTTCACTTCTCCTGCCTTCTCCAAACTCTTCACCCTTTTATGAATAACCCTGTAAATGTTGGTGCCAATCCTCCCTCCATATTCAGGGTATAATGGTTGCTTTCTCCAGGGGGGATCTAATAGGGGATCTAATAGATTTACCTTAATCCTCAGTTTTGTGGTAAACTGTGCTCCACTCTTCTTCTGTTTGCCCAGGAATGTGGGTGGGGCTTCAACATCATCACATACAGTGCAGGACCATAACATGA